GTCCTGCACCTCTACCAACGGCCCCACTCCCCACCCTGATCCCCTCCCGCGGTGCTCGTGTCACTCCTCCACCGAAGGCATGTGCCGCCCGTGATGCGCCTGAGCCAAGAAGGCATATCCAATGCCGGCTGAGCCATTATCGAAAAATGGTTTCCCCTCGCTTTATATTATAAAGCAAACATCACCGAGTACATTCGAGATACTGAACAACGCACACATCGCACACACCCAAGGCAAGATACAAAAGTGTCAGGCACCGACACACCACCCCACCGACTACCAATAGAGAGGTGAACCGGGCCAAAACGAAGTCAGGCCTCCAAAGCGGCGCCTCCAAGAAGGATACAACCATGGATAGCCGCCACTGCCCGATCAGTGAAGATCGGATTTTCAATCGAAGCAAGACGACAAGAGTGGGAACACCGCGACGAAGCCTTCAGGAAGGGTACGGCGGCAATGGCCACCTCCAACGTCGGCCAGTCAAAGGACTGGACAAGTGGTGTACCGCGGCACTCACACCCCACCGTTGCACCTTAACTGGAGTGGTACGTATCATCAGGAGAAAATTAACTGCGGTTGTGTATTGCGGCAAGAGCTGAAAATTTTCAACACAAAAAGCTGAAAATTTTCAACACAAAAATCCTAAGAGTATAAATCCTGCAAATCAAACGACCACCCATAGGAAAATTATTAAGTATTGTTTTCTTTCTCATGTGCTCGAAGCATTACTTGTCTTTACATGCGACACTGGTTGAATAAGAAATACACATTTTGTTGATTGTCATCCTTGTATAAATATATATTAGTAAAAATAAAGACATAAAATCAATAATCCCACACACTTCGACATAATACACGTTGCCCATGCCATTGGAGAAGGTAGTGCGGCTTGTCAATATCAGCATATAGTACTAATATTCTGTGGTTAGTCCCTGCAAAAGGAAAGAGCAATCACATAAGTATTTCATGCTGCATTTGCAAACTAAAGCCAGAAAGTACATAACAAAATCACAAGGTACTCGCCAAAAGCTTCGTTTTTTTCCTACATTGGCCTCACTTTGTCATCAAATGCCAACAGTAACATCCCATTTTAGTTTCATAATTCTTCCTATATGTCTAGTAATCTAAAAAAAGTGTCTACAAAATCACATCAGATTATTAGTACAAATCATATCAAATTTTTACTGGATATGCACATACTCCCTCCATCCTATAATACAAGGTGTTACTACAACCAATATACTCATATATTGGCTAAAATCTAACATCTTTCTTAGTTGTACAAACCTATGAAAATGAGGAAGTAGTGCAAATGCAAAGAATGCTGGAAAAAAACACAACCACGAGACAAGCAATTTATTAACTACCTTGGTAATGATAGAACGTTACAGAGTTCATCAGCTCTATACCATCAGGTGGCGACATGGTCCTGCTCCTGCAAGTCATGTTCGAGAAGACAATGAGATTTAAGTTGCAAGAAGTGCGTCTCTTATGCTATCTATTTCATTAAAAATAATTAATAAAATTAAATTATTGTGGATCAAATCTATTAAAATCTAAACATACCATCCAGAAAACTGTTGTAGGGGTGTCACTGGATGCAAATCTTGCTAGTCCAAGACCACATATCTTGAGTTTGCAGTTTCCTTGGAGGTCACATATCTTGAGTCCTACCATAATCCAAAACCACATATCTTGAGCCCTACCACAAATCGCTCAGAACTCAGAAATGATTCCTTGGATTTCACATATATTCTTTGGTAGATACTGCAACCTGAGGTCACAACTATTTCACTTGAGTGTCAACATGTCAAAATTTAGTGTAAGAAGAAATTATCCAAAGAATTCCTTTAGGAGGACTCAAAGAGAGATAAGACTGGCAGCTTCCACTATATGTTTCCAAAATAAGAATTACTTAAAACACAAAACCCATTTTCTTGAGAGCCTTGGGCTAAACCAAGTTCTGAAGAAACAATTTGGTCAACATATTTTAGAACTCTGCAATCACTAGTTGAAATCTGCACTACCATTAGTCTGAAAAATTCTCAAGCACATTATTTCTGAATTCCATAGTATCCATACTGCTGCCGATGGGGCAAACATCATATGGCAAGTGCTCTCTGCACATGTGAAATCAAAAGAGGTACATGCTATTTACCTGATGTACGAATCATATCCGATCTGTTCACAGCCATTTATGACATTTTAGCATTCAGCTGGTTGCCCACAGAAAGCGAGCTGTCCCAATCTGCACACTTCAAATCAGAAAGAAACTTCTCTACTGCCTGCTATCCTTAGCAGCAGCCAGCCGCAGGACCCTCGCCTTCCTTGGCATGGGCCTGCCATGTAACAGAGGTTGAATTATGATAAATATAATCCTGAACTATATAAAACCAAATGATGATGTGAACATAAAAGGCACTTGATTTCTACAACTGGCCTAACAAATTAAAAATAGTCACCATACCCTACTTTTTCCTTGGTTTGGCTCACCCATGAACAACCGACTTTATAGAAGAAGAAAACACTTGACACATAAATTGAAAGACCTTATAGAATATGGAAGTGTTCCTTGCTCCAGCAACATTGCCGACATTTGCATTCGTCCCCATAATGTTACACGAGGATAAGTATAATGGTAGATGCGGATATGAATTTTAGTTCAAATAACAGATTTCATTTTCACAAGGAGTGAAAGGGAAAAAATACCACAGAACTATCAAAGAAAGGCGTGAAACAACTGTCAGTGTATTCACCTTATTCTCGTTTCTTGCATTTAACCTCTCATATTGGCAGGTCTGATTCTCGGAATTGTCCGACCTGCACATCAGTAAATTTATCAGAGAAACATAATGTTACATGGGGCACGCCCCATGTACCAATGAGAGACCGGAAGAACGACTCAAGCAATAGTGGATTCAAACACGCTTAGCACTACCAAGGCCTACTGGATCCATCTATCAACTGTCAATATAAATGTATTGAAGAAGCTGCATTTAGAGAACCTTTTGGTTTTTTAATTCCCCTCTCCTTTAACAATTCAAGGTACAAATTAATCATAACAATGTGATGATTCAGACAATGTAATGATACACATATAAAAACGGACCGTAACCTTCTTCCTCCAGGCACACGAACACCCACAGTGCAGCCTCGTCGCCCTGGTCTGCCCGAGTTGCCGCCGCTGCCACCGGTCATCCCTCTAACTCACCTTCACCCGAACCCCACAACCAGCTACATGTCCTCCGCCAACGACGCTGGGACAATTTGCATCATCCCTGCCTCCGTCCACGTCCTAGATCTTCATCTTGGAGACGCTGCCGCAGGCAGTGTCGCCTCCATCTTTTTTTTAGAAAACAATGTGGCCTCCATCTCAGCCTTAGCTCCGTCTCACCTACTTTTCAGGCACATGTCAACTAACGCGACTGATTACACAGAGGAATGGAAAAAATGACGGAGAACCAAACTATTATACAATAAATACCTTATGTAACAAAGGATATAGAGAGATTATAGAAAGGATATGATAGTATTTTCGCAAGAGACTTTTTGTAAATTCCTTAACTTAAGAATGAAAAAAGGCTTGTCAACATTCTGGTATAGACTTCACTATCCCGACTGATTCCGTTATAGCAACATTGATATTCCAAATTTTATCATGATCTCGCATATGAGCTCAAAAATGAAAATAATCTACTCACTTATCCTAGCTCTGGGTAATACTAAGGTTACATTTTTTATACTACCAAAATTACATAAACCCTTCCTTTATAAAAAGATTTAGCATCAGGACATGCGTGCGGTCCCCTTTTAAGAAATTAATGTAAATCAGTTGATTAATTAACCAGCAGTACTCCTTTTCTAGAAAATTATAGAAGTTTATTGGATTTCCGAATTGATTAATCTAGTAAATTAAGATCAGTTCCAAATACATAATTCAACCAAAACATGATTTCACCACAACCATAGTAATTAGAGCAGAAGTTCCTACCCAATCTATCATCCCTATACATACCACAAACTTCATTCAAAATACATACTGCCGACTCAAAACCATCCAATACTCCTAGTCTTATACAGACTGCACACACTCGTAAACCAAACCCTCATTAAACCAATACATCAATTAGCTATACACCCAAATGTATGTACATATATTTGTACCAGCAATCTGTTGCTAGGTGGTACATATATTTTGGTCCAGTGATGCTCAAGACAGATCAGAGATTGCCCCCATCCCGAAGGAAGTGAACCAGCTAAGTAGAGTTTATTCTAGTTTTCAATTTAGGCTTGTGCACAGAGCCACAGACCATCTAATGTGCTGCTCACCTCTGTGCAAAAAATGCTTCGCCTGAGCGACAAAGGTGTGCTTGGGTAAATATGAATCCTGGCTTCGTTTTCAGCCTTCAGCATGACTATAACTCTACTTATTCAGTCCGGAAAAGCTCCTGATTCCAAAAAAAAGTGCACGTGCATGAAACAAGGATCTAGCAAAACACTTAATCCAGTCAAATTCTGGAAAAAAAAGTAAGCAGAAGGAGCAGCACATCTCTGTTTATAAGTACAAAAACCACAGATTTCATATTCAGGAAGGGAAACCAAGATATAACCAAGAAAAAGAAAACATAGGATCCATAAACGTAAGATTTTATAAATTGATGAGGCAGCACTAACCTCATCAAAACTTTTCCCGTTATGAATAGCCCGTTCGTGTCTCTCTCCACTGAGCCGTTTAAAGAGTTGTTCTTATATATGATCGCTAAGCATGGCCCTTGGCTGATCTTTAGCCCCAAGAACAGATTTTGTGGCAAAGGCATACATAAACCATGTTCAATCTCCCAAACACAGCACTGAGGGCAAGTTTAATCTGCTTCTTTGGAATCACCCCATTTGAAATTTGGAAGGGCACAAATCAGATGCTGCCAACATTCACATTTGTCACACATTACACAACGTAGATTCAAGTATGAAGTTTAGCCTTAGGAAATTGATTACCTTCCACCTGAATTGTGAACTATCAGTCTCATTGTAACACGTGATACAGAAATTGTGACAAGTCTCGGTAGCAGTAGCAGTATAGTATGCATTTCATTTTATCCAAGCAACACAAGGAGAACAACAAATTGGTGGAGGCTAAAAAAAAGCTTATTTACTTTGCTCTGCCAAATGATGGAACATAATAAATAGTTTACACTTTGTAGTGCAACAAGCATATAACTATTTAATATGCTTACACTGTGAACAATGGTAATACCAGTGAAACATGTACTTAGCTATGAACATGGATCGATCATTATTGTCATCAATGAAACTTATATAAGAAAATTGCAAATGGAACTTCTTGATAGAACATGTGCACGTCTAAAACTAGATCAGTGTAGCCTCATGCTTCATAGCTGTGAAGCACCGGCGATACGGCAATTTCAAGAAACAGTAATATGGCAATACGCCGGGTATATATAAATAACTAATAAAATGGTATGCAAAGAAGAACAAATAATCTATGTGCGAGATGACATGAGATCAAAATACTGCCCCTTTTGTTGCCTTCATGCCTCTTTTTATATCATCAATGACTGAATGATCATTAATTTCCTAGATCATCATAATTGAATGTTGTGTATCTCTGGACTCAGTCCCTGGCCAGCACAAAAACAACATTAGGACATCAGCAGCAATAAGCAACAATATCAACAAGTCAGTAGCAGCAACAACAACGTTAGTATAAAACAACGCATAGCTGCATACAAGATGCAATCATTATAAAAATATATACAGAAAAGCAGAAGCAGCAGGCCAGCAGCAACAAGACAACAAGCACGCAGCGTCAAGCACAGACATCACACACACGCCGCAAGCTAAGCGGGAGGACCGGAGGCACGGCCAGGCAGGACTTGGCTGATGCCCTGTGCAAGATAACAAAGTGAGGCCCTTTGATTGTCTACAGTACCATTGCCGGTTCAAGTGACAATTAGAACTTATATTTGCCCTAAAATTTCTTCAATGACTTTGTTTTGAGAATTTATAATATCATGTGCTAATCTTCTCTTTCTTTGGTTTTGCATGTTACAACTACTTTTGGGATGAGATCTTAAAAGACAAAGGCATGAAACTTGAAAAATCAAACCTGGAGGAGGGAGAGCGACCATGGCACAGCACCACATAGGCGTGAAAGAAATCCAGCAACGAACGCTTGCAGATGGAGTAGTACTTCTATACAGGTCTTATCTGAAATTAGTAGTACTGATTACTGACCCTGATTGATGTAACCTGTATTGAACTTGATTGCCGGAATTAGTAGATAATGGAATAGTACTAACCTTCTCTTGCTCTCTCAAGTGGAGCATCTGGAGAATTAGTACAACCCAAAAAGAAGTAAAGCACAAATTAGATCGAATACAAAACAAAGCAACCTGCTCCGCTTATAACACGTGCGAAGAAAATAGCCACCGTTGCCACAGTTTTACTGAAACACGCATTGTAACCAGATCTCATATCTCATCAGAAAATACAAGTGGATGCAATCCGCAAGTGCCTAATTCTCTTTGCCACAAATATGACATACAGAGCAATATAAAACTGATTTGTAGGGTAGAAATATATGTAGGAAATGATAATGTACGTACCATCTCCCTCCGGAGCTCTTCCTTGTAACCGAAGTCCACCTCAATCTACTCTCCAGGCTCGGAGCCATGGCAAGGACCTCGACACCGCTGGCAAGCCCATTAAGCTTGGGTATGTGGGGCTTCCTTCGATGGTGGCTGGCGAGATCCATGGCGGCCAGGGAAGGGATAGGAGCAGCTCTCGCAGCACAAGATTCACGGCAAGTCAGGGAGGGAGAGGAGGGGATCCAGCAGCGCGAGATCCATGTCGATTTGGGGAGGGAGGAGGAGGGATTCAGGGAGAGATGCGAAGATCGGGGGCTGGTTAGGGTTCCCTAGGCTGCCACGTGATCCAGCGCGGCAGGAGGGGCTGTCCCTGAGGAGCGACGACCCGGCGCATCCATCGGCCGGGGGCCTGGCCAGCGCCAGTGGCTCCCTCCATCATCGCCTCCGTCCGAGGAGTGACGCAGCCACGGCGAGGCGGACGAACCTGGCAGTGCGATTCGATTCGGCGGGCGGCTGCATCTGAGGGAGACGAGAGCCGGTTAGGGATAGGGCGTATCGACTCGTCCTTGGTTAAATTTCGTAGGTTTTTTATCGTAGATTCTTTCCCCTTCGATTTTCTCTGGATGGACCAGAGGTTTGGCACCTTGACTTCGTGGGGGCACCTTGGCTTCGTGACGGGGCTGGGGGGTTCGCTGGGAGGTGGGATCGATGACGAAAAAACCCGTTTCTAGTGGGATAAAAATTGACCGGCGGAGATTACAAACTGCTTCATTAGTAGTAGAGATGATCCGACAACCCGAAAGTGACAATAATCGGGATACTTCTCGGTGATGACCGTAGTTTGAGGAGTTCATGTATCACTATGTGTTAATGCTTTGGTCTGATACTCTATTAAAAGGAGGTCTTAATATCCCTTAGTTTTCATTAGGACACCGCTGCCACGGGAGGGTAGGACAAAAGATGTCATGCAAATTCTTTTCCATAAGCACGTATGACTATATTCAGAATATATGCCTACATTACATTGATGAACTGGAGCTAGTTTTGTGTCACCCTATGTTATAACTATTACATGAGGAATCGCATCCGACATAATTATCCATCACCTATCCAATGCCTGCGAGCTTTTCACATATTGTTCTTTGCTCGGTTACTTTGCCGTTGTCACTGTTACAATTACTACAAAACTGCTACTCTTACTTTTGCCGCTGTTACCGTTACTTCCATACTACTTTGCCACTAAATACTTTGCTGCAGATACTAAGTTATCCAGGTGTGGTTGAACTGACAACTCAGCTGCTAATACTTGAGAATATTCTTTGGCTCCCCTTGTGTCGAATCAATAAATTTATGTTGAATACTCTACCCTCGAAAACGGTTGCGATCCCCTATACTTGTGGGTTATCAAGACTATTTTCTGGCGCCGTTGCCGGGGAGCATAGCTCTATTCTTTGAGTCACTTGGGATTTATATCTCCTGGTCACTATGAAGAACTTGAAAGACGAAAGAACTAAGATTTATCCCTCAACTACGATGGGAGGTAAGGAACTGCCGTCTAGCTCTGCACTTGATTCTCCTTCTGTTATGAGT